AAATGCTTCAAGTTAAACAACACAGAATCAAATAACAACACAAGAATGAACACACGGTAAATGTGCATATGTAGGTTCAGAATTAGCACAAATGAATAGTTGGGGAAAGTTCCTTGCATTTAAATTAAAATGCAAATGCATCGTTTTCTCCCTTCCCTTTCTCTCTCCAGCCCCTCCATGTACTCATTGCTCTCTCTCAAATTCATGACCTCTGGCCTTTGTTTCTTTAATTCTTATTGCATACATTTCCCCCTTCAATATATAGCTAAACATGTAACTACAACCTGCTTAGTGAATATAAGGTTGCTTCTGTGTATATGATTTCAGGGCTGACTATCTGGTATTGGATAACCAATCAGGGCCCGCTATCTGGGGAAGACTATCTGGCTCATTCCCAGCATTCCTTAGTTGCCTGTAGATTTTGGCAAGGGTTGGGGTCCTATGGGATTTTCCCCTTCTGTGTTAGCATGTCTGCTGGTATCGTTCTTATTCTGGGCCTTATTTAGACAGCCCTGCTGTTGAGACTTCACTGGTTTAGCTTCCCTGCATTTCAGGCGAGACAGTCCCAGAGCAGACATCCTGTTCCTCTGGCCGTTACCGTCTTTCGACCCTGCCCTTCATTATGTTCCCTGAGCCTTAAGTGAAAGAGCTGTGTTGTAGGTGAATCAATGAGTCTGGGTACCAAACAATCACTCTTCTCTGCACTTTGTTTACTTGTCATTTTATGTAATGGTCTCTATCTGCTGCAGAGAACTTTGTTGACGGATGAGAACTGCACTTTCTTGTGGGTATAAAGGTAAATATTTAGAATACAGTAGGGATTATACTAGGTTTGTAAAGTAGCGGCTGTAGGTTTGCCTTCAAAATCCATGACCTCACTAGCCCCAGGTAGCTGTCTGGGTTTCCAGCACCAGGCATTATTCTTTTAAAAAGTTTCTGGGAGAAAAATCATCTCATATATACAAATGTTAGAAACATAAAGTTACAACTGGATATGTTCTGAAAAGTATTGCTATGTGTCTTAGTTAGGGTTCTGTAGAGGAAAAGAAATCATAAAATGAATATATATTATATATGGGATTTATAAGAGTTCAGCTAGTCCAACAATGGCTGTCTACCAAGGGAAGGTCCAAGAACCCAGTAGCTGTTCAGTCCCTGATGCTGGATGTCTCTGCTGCTCTGTAGTAGATGCTGGAATCTTGAAGAACTAAGCTCTAATGCAGGGAAGGAGTGGACTTGCCAGTGTGAAGACAATCAGGCGGAGAGAGCAAGCTTCCTTCTTCCATATCCTTGTATACGCTGTGAGCAGAAGGTGTGGCCCAGATTAAAAGTGGGCCTTCCCACTCCAAATGATTTAATTAAGAAAAAAAATCTCTCACAAATGTACCCAGCCACTTGGGTTTTAATTAATTCCAAATGTGGTCAAGTTGACAACCAAGAATAGCCATCACAATCCACCTCTTGTCAACTTGACACATAGTCATATCTCCTTAAGTCATACTTAATTTCTAAATGGAAATAATAATCAGGTTATAATTACAAGTAACATGATATAATAATCCCACAAATCATTGCAAACACATTAACCAGGTCACAATTATGCCTAATATGATATAACTGTCCTGTACAACCTCACATTATAAATTTTAAAATAGGTGGCAATGTCCCTTGAGGGACATTCTTTTAGTATCTCATACTTAAATATGATAACCACTGATATTCTTTCTCTTAGTTGATGTTACAGTGCATGATAAATTGAGGGAAGAAAACACAAATATCTATACAAACATATTCTTAACAAAATATGACAGAAACACTCATGTTGGTTATAATGCTTGTTTCCGCAACCAGTCACATGGCCTTAGTTGGTGTTTAGAACTACCTTCCTCTACTGCCCATTCTGTATTCCCTTTACCCTCAGCAAGTACCTCAGCAGGTCTTGGCTCTTTTCCTGGAGGAGTGACCCATACCATCATTCCTGATGGGTTTGTGCCCTTTGTCATCCTGCCTGGATTAGGTTGTTGTAGCTTCCTATTAACTTTAATCACATGACATGGTAGCCCCAAGAGACACCGTAAAGGATCTCCTGCACTTAACTCCATTGTGGAGAAGCAATCCAATTTCTCTATGGTAACCTGGATCTATCACCCCTCCTAACACTGTTATTCCTTTCTTAGTCTGTTGGCTCAAGGGCATCAGAAGCCTAAAGTGACCAGCGGGATGTCCAACCTTGCAGTTCAATGGAACGTTTGTTATGGCTCCTAGCAGGAGCACGCTCACCTCTGAAACCAAACCTTCTAGGCCAGCAGAAATTAGAGTTGTGGGAACAGGAAGCACAGTCTTCCCTAGTGGATTACTGGGGATGACAGTGAGTAGAACTATTCCATTTTCTACCCCTTGATTCCTGGACCCCACGGATCCTGCTATCCTGGGGGAAACAGTACCATACATTGGACACTGATTAAAAGCATATTCCATCCTCTGGAGAACCCTGCCCCAGCTCTCCATGCTGCTGCCCCTAACTGGCACTGTAACTTTAAAAAGCCATTCCATCTTTCTATCAAGCCAGCTGCTTCAAAATGGTGGGAAACATGGTAAGAATGCTGGATTCCATGATTGTGGGCCCACTGTCACATTTCTCTGCCTATAGAGTAAGGTCCTTGGTCAGAAGCAATATTGTGTAGAATATCTTGATGATGGATAAGACATTTTGTAAGTGCGTGATGGCAGTTTCAGCAGAAGCATTTATCAGGAAAGGAGGATCCACAATAGGAATAAATGTCTGCTCCAGTAAGGACAAAGCATCGGTCTTTCTACGGAGGAGTGGTCTAATTTCATCCACCAAGTCATTGGCTGATCACCCCAGGGAATGGTGCCATATCTGGGGCTCAGTGTTGGTCTCTGCTCTCGGCACTCATCAGTAGCTGTAGCTAGGTCAGCCTTGGTGAGTGAAAGTTCACGTTGTCAAGTCAAGGCATAACCTCCATCTTTGTCATCACGACCAATTTGTTCATGTGCTCATTGGGCAATGACAGGGATGTCTGGGGGGAAAGCCTGACTGTCCACAGAATGGGTCATCCTGTCTACTAGACTGCTGAACTTCTCTGTTGAAGTCACCTTTTGATGAACATTACATAAGACACAAATATCTTCACATCCTTCACCCACGTTGAGAGATCTAGCCACACATATTTCTTCCCCAGATGTCTTTCTCACCAATTTTCCACTCTTATTCTGTCTAAGTCCTTTACCGTCCAGTCAATCCATTGGCTACAGTCCATGAATCAGTGAACAATTACATGTCTGGCCGTTTCTCCTTCCAAACCAAATATATGAATGACCATGTATAGTGCCAGAAGTGCTGGACACTGTGAAGATTTCCCTTCACTGGTTTCTTTCAAGGTTGTCCCAGAAAGGGGTTGTAATGCTGCAGCTGTCCATTTCTGAGTGGTTCCTGCAGAGCATGCAGAATCATCAGTAAGGCAAGCCCTACTATTCTCTTCCTCGGTCAAAAGACCCAATTAAAAGCAGGTCTTTTCAATTCAAATTATTTAATTACAAAAAAAAAAAAAAAAAATCCCTCATAGGTATACCCAGCTGCTTGGGTTTTAGTTAATTCCAGAGGTAGTCAACCAAGAATAGCCATCACACTGTTTCCTGAAAGTCTAGGAAAGGGATTATCTCTTGATAGCTGGTACAAGGGAGAAAACATCTAGAAATAGTGAAGGAAATGTTCCCACACCAACCTGAGTGGAATCACTGTGGAAAAAGATTGGCATCTCAGTCCCTAACTTCATTACAATAAAATGTTTGATTTCCCACGGCAACCCTAACAGTGACATGAACAGCTGTCAACAACAAAATTAGAAGAAAATGCCATTATGTGGATTTCACCCACATTTGCTTGTCCTATTTCCATACCATTGCTCAGGAGAATATTTTCAGAAAGTTCTTTCAGTAGAGGTTTTCATTATTCAAAAGGGAGCCCCACAGGTCTGGTATGCTGCAGATGACATACACTTGTTATGTGAGATAACATGGCTCCCAAATGGTTGCTTATTGAATGCCAAATCCAAGTACACAAAAGAGTCTGGGCCACAATTGGTTTAATCCTGAAACCATGCTATAAAGAATCTGCAATAATTCCCGCATTTAATGGTTGGTTCTTGCTATTTGTAGTGGTTATGTTCCATATGGTCATGCGAACTGACTTGGCAAATACTGAATCCTAATTCCTAAGAGGAACATGGGATTAGATGCTACTGGGTAGCGAGACCTGACAACCCAACTGGAATCATGTTCCAATTTGTTTTAGTTTAAGAAACCTTATTTAAGATCTGTGTACTTGATGAACAATGACCTCAAGAGACCAAACTCAGAGTTGAATGAAGTGTATGTAAAATGTATGCTATCCTTATAAGACACATCACTTCCTTCCTTGTGTCTGGCACATTAGACAGTGTGTAAGCTCTGTCTACATCAGGGACCCATTTATCCAGTGAAATCACAGAGAAAACACACACAGTATAAGAACATGGATTAAATAGACCACAAGAAGGGCTATTCTTTACAGTAAAACATAGAAACTGGAATAGAGAGGGCCTTCGTTCAACATTACCTGAGAACATGTACATGGGGCCATTCAATTTTTCTTTTTTCTTTTTTTTTTTTTTTGCCACATTGTCTATATCAATGAAAGTATTGTGAGTACTGATTTTAGGGTTTACAAATGAATTTTCAGTAAGAAGACAAATTTGCAAATGAGAAATTTGTAGATAATGAGGACTGGCTGTATGTGGCAAAACTATGAGCTGGTCACTCCATATTCGTGTGACAATTCTTTTCTATTGGTGTTTATACACCTTTAAATTAAAAAAGTAGAAATCAGAGATTTTGGAAGTAAGAATTTCATGAAAAAAGTGTCAGGAGTCCTGTACCGTTGCTTCTGGATTGTGAGTTTGACATCAGTGTCATGGTGACGCTCCCTCCGCTTCTCCTAGGTCTTTCAGGGCTGTGGCCAGCCCAAACCTGCTCCAGCTCTCAGATCTGCTCGCTCGGCTCCAGAAAATTTCAACACCCGTTTTCGGCCCTACAACCCTGAGGAAAGACCCACAACTGCAGCGGGCACGAGCTTGGACAGACTGGTGAGTACTCCAACTGATGACCGGGATGCCAGGCCGTTTGCTAAGGTACAGGCTGTGGGATCCCCAACACTGGCTGGAAACGCCATCTTACGCTTGGACCTGCTCCTGTCCCAATTACAATGGTTGACAGTAAAAGATTTGTTTTTTTTTTTTTTTTTTTTTACTTTTAGATCATGGATTTGATTATTTAGGAACTCTTAAGACTGCTAATCCACTAGTGCAGTGACTAGGATTCCAACTTTATATTTCTTCTAAAATGCTGCTCTCAAAGCCCGGTTGCTGGGTCTTTCAGATGTATAATTACAAAACCACATTTCTAATTCATGTGCTTCATTTCTTTTCTTTAAATGCTTGCTTATGTGATTATAATGTCCTGTCATTTTCTTATGATTTCTCATAGTCTAACTTTTCTGTTTGGAAAGTCTCTTTCAGGAAGTTCCAAATTAATGCTACTTTTTTTTTCTTCCCTACATGCCCTTGAAAAACAGGGGTCTTAGGACCATTTAAATGTGTGTTGGGGACTGGGTGGCTTTTATGTAAGAAAAATTGTATTATGTGATGGCTACTATACACATAATACAATTTTTAATGTGTTTTTAAAAAAACAAATTTGACATAAAAATTAAGAGCTCCTAATTTCAAAGAAATATGGCCTGATCATTTCCAATTCAATGTCTTCAATCCATAATGCTGTAAACAATCCATATACCTGTGCTGTTAGTGCTGCGGATGCTGCTTTGCCAATTATCTTGATGTAAAATTAGCAGATAAAACCCTCAGGGTCATACAGCATTTGAACCACGTCTGATTGTGTCATATAAACTCAATCTCGAGGGTTGTTGGTTGTGAAATACTTTTATTAGTCACTGTTATGAATGGCTTTACGGTTTTAGTTAATGCCCCTTCCACAGTGTAGAACTCGTAAGATTAAATTGGTTGTGTTTGAACTCCATGTAAGTACGTCTCAGCATCTCTCTCCATAAAAAATCAAGCGAATGTAACAGCATAAAGGTCTATCCATTAAGTGTCAAAGTGAAACGTGGCTGCTCTCGTTAACTGCTAAATTATGCTTTGAATTTATTACCCTTTATTAGCAAATAAAACCCCTTCTTCAGCACAGGTCTCAAAAAAGGAATCATAAGCGTGATTGCTTCAACCTGCTCCCCCTTGCTCACTCCCGTCCTCTATCACATTTTCAAGAATATTTGAAAAATAGTTACTATTTGTCTTTTAAGCAACCAACTCTACTCTGCTAACTGACAACTCGGTCAGCTTTTTCCAAGAATGTTGGTTTTCTTTAGAGTACATTGCTTGGATTCTACTTCACAAAATGCTTTGTGTCTCTCAAAGCAGAAACTTTGGGGAGTACAGATTTGATTTCATTTTAGCTAGTGTGAACTCAACCATTAGAGGAGGTTGGGCCCGTCAAGATTTCGCAAACCCCAGTTTAAAACTGGAATACAATGTCAGATGAATCTGTTTTCGACATCTCATGTGCAAAATTGTGCCCACAAAGGACAGTATTGTTTTACACATCTCAAAAATCTCTTATAGGAAACTTCCTGTTAAATCTTCTCACAATAAGTGAATTAAGTTTTTAAAAAACAAGGGCATGTTATATACGTAGTTAAACTGCGTTAAATTTGGACACTGTAGTGATATTCTATGACAAAGGAATATTTCTCCTTTGAAACAGTGAAGCATTTCTCCAGGCTAAGTTAACACATGCCCTTAAATGAGGAAAATAAAATAAGGAAAAAACAACCTGCTACTCCACACAATCTTAGTGCAGCAAAACACAAACTAAATAAAACGCAACACTGAAAATTTCCTTGATCTTCAAAGTCTGACAGATATGTAAGCCAGGATTTAAACCTTAAAATAAAATAAAAAACTTCACCAAGTAATCTTTAAAATGCACCCCTAAAAGGAGTCTAGAAAAGTATTGAAGACATTCTATTTTATGTCCCCTGCAAATATTTTTAATCAATCCTTTTCTAACAATAAATGACAGTGGTTAACCACTTGTCATGTGTAAAAACCCAGGGCCAGTCCCAGAGCGTAGGTATTCAAGCCAGGAGCTACGTTTATTGTACAACGTCCTCCATCGGTGCTAATACCGACTTCCTCCTGGGTGTGACTTCAGGCTGAACGTTCAGGTGAGAACGTCAGTTTTGCTCATACTGTATGTGATGAGATTCTGATCTCCTTTCACATCTGAGAATTAGCCATTTGTCAAAGCCAGCCTCCTTCCAGTTCCTCTCCTTCGCTCCTAAGATCAGTTGTTCCCACATCAAAAGATGTTCTGCTGAGGTTATTCTTAAGACATAGACGCTGGGCCCCAAGCTCCCATCAGTGGTTCCCTGTGCAGCCCCTGGCTTCCCCAAGGCCATTTCCCTTTAAGCACCTGCTTGCCTTCTGAAGAGAGGTAAGCAGTCGGATGTGGTCTTTTATGGACCTGTTCAAGGGGCAACCCTGGTGAATTCTCCAGCTGGGTCTGTTCTCTATTGCTGCCTGTCCCCACTGTTCGTAAACAAGGCTTGTGATACCTACTCCTGTTTTAATTTTTCCCTGAAAAGATGTTTCCTGAATATTTATGAGAAGCATGTGTCCCAGAAAAGGAGGAAATTGGAAAAGATTTCTCTGTTTCAGCAGAGAAAATGTTTTAAAAGCCAACATTGAAAGAATTCTCCCCTCACCCCACCCATTTACCTAAATGAAAATCACTGCATTCTGACGCTTGTGGAGGGTGACTTCTTGACATCCTTTAAATTAGTGCCTGTGGTATTGACTCTGGAATCTGTTGGTAAATGTTCTTATGTCAGTTATTGTAAAACTGTATTTTTATGTGAACTGATAATTGAGGGGTTTGTTTTAGAAATAAAGGTCTCAAACCCCAAGTCACTGCTAAAACTCACAGAAGAGAATCAGAAAGAACACAGTATCTTTCAAAAGGCCCAATCCCTTCAGAAGGAGCCTGGAAATTCTCATCTCACAAGGAAAAGTTTTCATTTGTTCTTCGAAAGTTGTGTGAGCCTAAAATGCTGTTGACAGTGGCCAGCAGCCTCCAAACAGGCGAGGCTCAAGTCATGCTTTGTTTTCTAAAACCAAAAGATCGTATTTGTGTGAATTCAGCTGCTGATAGAAAGCTGGCTTTGGGGAAAATATCAGAGTCCTCACTGCCAACATCTGCATTTTACTGAGAATGCCAAGGCCATCACCTGATCCCACTAACAGGCTGGCCTCACCATCATATCTCACCCCAGCAGCCTTCCTGTCCCCACAGGCTGCTAAAGGTTTCCAGTTAAGTGGGCCAGAGGTCATTATTTGCACTCTGAAGGGGATTGGTTCTTTTCTCCTTTTCATAAATTTATCCTCTGTGGATTCTCTGAAATACCTTGATGGAAGGCTATGAGTCTAGAAAGTTCTCACTCACTGGAAACATCAGGTACAAAACTAATTCAGCATGAAGTCACTAGAGTTCTCAGGTCTGAGCACAGAGAGGTGTTGGGCATCATCTCCTGAAAGGCAATTAGATGAAGAGCTCTGAAAATTCGAGTACAATGTGCTCACTCGGTGCGCTAAGGCAGAGACTGTCTGTTACTTACAGCAGCTCTTTCATTAGGGCAAATCTGAACTCTAAATTATAGCCCTTAGAGGAATGCAATTTATAAAAGTCAACCTTAAAAAAAAAAGACTTGGAAGTTAACTCATCAAGCCGTGATGATTTAATCCAAAGCAACTCCAGTAAGTATCTCACCTTGTCCTGGTTGTCAAGATTTTCTGGTTATTCTCCAAGTCACTAAGAATGTGGGCAGGGTAGATGGAGTGTCAGCCAACTGATGAATCTAATATGCCTTTTGCTGTGCTATGATGTATAAAATAATCTCCTTTTCTTTTTCTTTTGAATTTGTTTTCCTCTTGCTTCCCAGAGGACTGTGTGGAGGACCATGCAGCATAGTGTAAGCACTGGTCTCTTTCTTTTGTTCATCCCATTTGTCTAGAACATTCCTGAGAAATGCTACCTTCCCTTTTAACCCTAACCCCAACCATCTCCCTTATCTGGTATGAGTAGACCACTGTGTGGGGTCAACTTGCTTCCTCCTTTGGTATTTACGGCTCATAACTGCTTTGGTATTCTTTCCCAGTGGCAAGGTTTCCAATCTAATCTTCGTGGAACACTGCTTCATTTAGTGGGTGATTAAATTCTATTCTAATGTTCAGACTGTTGTCATCTGTCTGAAAAACTCACCCATCCCAGTGGGCCATGTTGGACTTTTCTTCTTGTGCTGAGAGAATAATTACCTCACTATTAATAAGAACAAATCGGCATCGACTCTCATGCACAAGGAACTAATTTTTCCATTAGCAGGGACATGGAGAATTTAGGGCTTAAAAATAGTTTATGCTATAAACTGTTTTCTCTATATATATTTTGTTGTTGTTCCTATTTGAATGTCCTGGGTGTGTTGTTTTAGTTTGGTTTCGTTGTTGTTTGTTTTTGTTTGTTTCAGCATTGTGGGAGAGGGTACTGGATATTGTTTTATCTCAAAGTGGCCTGTATAGGGCTCAAGACGAGAAATCTAGGTTGCCTTGACTATTCCCATTAACTAAAACATTACAGAATGTGGTTTTCACTATTTCATGATGGTAACATTCTTTCAGAAGGACCTGCATCCTTAAGCCAGAAATTTGGTACATACCTGTAATCCCAGTTCAAAGCCAACCTGGGCTACCTGGAGAGTCCAAGGCCAGCCTAGGGCTACATATCCTGTCTGAAACAAAACTAATTTCACAAAAGTCTGTACAGGACACATGTGTCCTGCGACCAAGAAAAGGGGTATCTGTCCCTGGAGGAGTACTTATGTTTTCAATGAGCACTTGCATGATATAACAGTATTCTCTATCTCCACCCCGACCCCTGCCTTAACCTAGGTGGTACTGGTACTGTGTGAAAGTTTTCCTTTAGAACTCATTTATTTCAAAGAGAACCTATCCATGCTGAGTAGCCACCCATCCATGCTACAAGTTCTAGCCCAGGGCGCTTTGGATGAGGTAAGAGAACCTAAGACTTAAGTCTAGAACAGGAACATCCTAGGAAGGAAGCCCTAGAGGAAGAAACAGGAGGACAGAGGACTCAAGGGTTCCTGATATTAACTAGAGAATGAGAGGGGAAATCATGGCTGGGTAAGTTAGGCTTCTGTCAGTCTGGCCAAATGAGTAGCCAAAACAGCTCCAGCCAAGTAGTCCATATTGCTCTTCCCTATACACTGCCTCAAGATCGCCATTTGTTCCAGCAAATGAGCCCATGTGATCTCCTCAGCAAGTGGTTACCATGACCCTGCTACTTCACCCCTAGAATCTCACCTTCCTTCAATGTCCTGGGATGAATATAATCACACTAGCACCCCTTATCTGCTGGGCTTCCCTTGTTTACTGTTACCAAACATTAAACCCCAAATTCGGGTTTTGATAGGATCTTTCAAAAAAACAGCTACATCTTCTTTAATTCATTGGTATTTAGTAGAAGCAAGCATGTTATCAATAATACCACATACAGGCTTGGGTACTGACAAAACACTATCAAGATATGTGCGTTGGGGCTGGGAAGGTACCTTAGTGCTGGCCTGGTATGTGCATAGTCCAAGGTTCAATCTCCAGCATTGGGAGGGGGAGGGAGCCGGGGAAGAGGAGGGGGGGCAGGGGAGGCACCAATTTAATTTTTTTAAATATTGCTTTGAAACAAAATGGATGTGGCAACAAACGTTCTGGACTTTGATTTTTTCAGAGTAAAATGATAGTCATAAAAAAATGTTCTCCCATGCCTCTCCGGGGCCATTTGGATGTGATTTAGGAAGCCTGGGTTGTAAGGATTGGGAAACAGTTGTTCATTGCAAATTGCCACAGCATTTCATTGGCACCTCAAAGGAGTCTGCATCCGGGCGAGCTCCACCACTTTGCATTTCAAAAGGGTGTCAAGCTGGATTTAAGAAACCCTTTTATTTTCCAGAGGTTCAGCCCCCTCTTTAGGTTGGAACTGATCCTTCTACTGTCTATCCCAACACACACACACACACACACACACACACACACACACACACACACTCACCCACCCTTCCATCTTTGCTTAGCCTGAATAAGAAAAAGAAAAACATCCCTAACAACAGGAAACCAGATTCTCTGCTTTAATTAGTTTCCTAAAGATAAATGGGTCAAAGTTAGATTGACTTGCAGTCTCTGCTGCAGCTGCGTAAATTATGCCCACTCACTCCTGCAAACCGCTACTGCTCAGTCCCCTTCGGATCAGGAGCTGCCCTGTCTTGCCTGAACCTGCTTTATCTGTTTGCTATCAAACCCCACTGAGACACCCCAGTTTCATTTCCACCCTTGGAAATAACAGCAGCAAAATGCAGTGTGCTTTCAAAGCCAGGAGAAAATAAAAATACATGAAAACCAACCCACCCGACTTATTCTGTCTGTTTCTTGCTGTTCTACTGGCAACACGCGCAGCGTGAGGCTGCAAAGAAATGCCTTTCCGATTCAGGAGGTTTGCACTTGATTGGGCCCAAGTGGGGACTCTCAGAAGACACCCATAAAAAGGGGTGACTTATCTCCACGATATGCTGCTTATTCTGTGGCTTTGAAGGATGCACAAATCTAAGTCAATGGTGAGCGCTGCTGGAAATCCACCAAAGAAGGCTGCTGTCCTGGAATCCTCAGCTCCTACCAACAGACGCAAGGCAAGGCCATGTTCACCTCCTTGGGAAGTCATTCATTCAGGCACATCAAAGAGGAGCAAATCGCTGGGTTTCCTTGAGTGGGCCTGCACACCACCAGGAGAAAGACAGTTCAGAGACCTAGCTATAGTAACTTCCTGGGAACCGATACATACGTAGGCTCCATCGCTGCTTTAAAGACATGTTCAGAGAATCCTATGGCTCCTAACAGCAACATAAAACCATGCTACAGTTTTTATTCAGTATGAGTGTCCAAAATCTAGCCCCCCCCCCCCCCCCCCCCCCCCCCCCCGCCAAAAAAAAAAATTCTGTTCAACTCTATTAAATACTCCCTCCAACCTCATAAACACTTCAGTAAAAACTTTGGTGATCTTCATGTCATTAAAATGAAATGCTCCAGGCTCAGACTTAAACAGGGCTACTGTGGATTCGGGTCTATTTTATAGGCTGTCAATATATTTACTTTCTGCTTCAGACTTTGAAGTTTCTTTCAGAATTCCTAGACTTCAGCTAAAATCCAAATTGATGCATTCTATACTTCCAATCAATCCACACATGTGTGTATTGAATTCTTCGCTGTCTCACAGCACTTAGTAAAACTCCCTGCCACATAAGATCTACTTCGCAGGGAGATGTTAGTGCTGGCGTCATCAACAAGGGAGGGTTACTGCTCACCAAAGACATTGCTTTGGATGTCAGTTGCATATGTGCTGTCTCCTCCAGGGAACAGTAGGTAGAGTAGGGCTTCCTGAACCATTAGCACACAGTAAATAGGAATTTGATTTCATAATCTAGGATAGACTACACCAAACAGAATGGAGAAGGAATATTAACAAATGAATAATTATCGACAAAATATGTAAACGGAATACATTAAACATCTGCAGCATCCTGGGCATAGGCCGTGTCTAACAGCTCATTTTCTCTCTCACACACTAGAACTTTCTACGAGAGTCTTGAGCAAATTAAACGGAAACTTTGCTGTCAGTTATAAACTAGTCAAATGAAGAAGTCCATCTGCCTACTCATTTCCAGAATCTTCTTTTATCAAGAAACGAAACTGGTGTTTCAGTCAATTGATAAAAAAAAAAAAACTTAATAAGCAAGTCACACTAAACTGCTTAAATTAAAAATGTTTGTTCATGTGACACGTCAGTTGACATGGGCCTTTTTATTAAATATTGCTCAGCTTCCAGACCTTTTTCTTGTCATGGAAAACCTGCAGTAATTTTTCTTCCAAGCTGTCTGAGACATTTGCTCCACAACTCCCCAATGTGATGTTCATGCTTATGAGAGATAGAGCTAAGAAATGGGATATTTCATAACTACTAGCTCTGATATATTTGCTGTATAATCAATCAGCTTTTAACTGACTCTCGGGCCCATAGAATACATTTTAAAGCATTGGGAATTTGGCTATTCCCATAACATACGTGGACACTCTATACTGCTGGCAATAAACCTCAGGCATAAACATTGTAGAGAAAAACCAAATGAAAGGAAGACCACTTGAGTGAAAATTCACTTTCCTTCATAAATGTTAAAGGTAGAGAGACATCTACAATATGTAGTAATTCTATCACTTAAGCTCATTTACAGTCATTTCACCAAAAACCTCATTCCACGGATATTTTCTTACAACTTGAAGATTGTCCAAGCTATTAGAAAATGGAAGCCTGGAAATGGAGTGAACTTTGAGCAGAGGCAACTCCACTATTATTAGCTTACGAAACTTGGGGAAAGGATGTCTGCATGTGTGTGAGAGCTTTCGAACGGTTTTCAGTGCCATCTTAATCTAGACGGACAGCAACAATAGAAGCAGAGCTGCCTCTGAGAAGAGCCCCACAGTGGTGTGCAGTCCAACACGTTGATTTCTTGTTCGTGTCAAAGGCCCACTGGTTGCCTGTGGGTCTGCAGCACCCTTCCTTCAGGCCCCTGGGGACAGAGAAGCCATTAATAGCTCTTCATATGTCACACTAGCTGGAGAACTTGGCCATGTAAGAACAGTAGCTGTTAATGTCTCCTCCTGGAAGGAATGCATCACCTCATTCATATCTAATTGGCCAAAGTGAGTCATGTGACCAGGGCAGCCTTCCAAAAAGTTAGTGATGGATATTGGTGTATGTCTCACTCAGATAGAAAATAGACATGTTAGTGACGACACCGTCGAGATTTTTTTTCTTTTTTCTTCTTTTAAAAAAAATGTACTGATACTTTCACACATG